TACTTGTACTTGAGTAAAGAGGTTGAATCTGTACCTGTACTTTTACTTGAGTCATTTTTAACACATGTACCTGTACTTCTACTTGTATGTCTGGACTTTTGGATTTATGACCTTATTCTGTAGCCAGCAACCAGACGGCGATCGAGACCCAGTCTTGTCCTCCATCTTTGCATACAGTCTGTCCATAACAAATTGCAGTGTATCAGGATGTAAATCGTGGTTTAGAAACAATTACCTTCCTCTGGTACTTGTCCCAGGGATGATCAGTCTGAGGCACTGGGCCAGTGCCACAGAGAGTGTGCTGAAGCTGGGTCTACCCTGGAGGGTGCTACGCCCTCAGCTTGTCAGCAGCACCCACTACAGCATGGTAGACTACCAGCAGTGGATAAGGGAGCTCTCCATCACTGAGCCCAAACTAGAGGTCAGCCTTCCAAATTTTATCGGAATCTGTGTATGTGTTTACTTCATTTGTTTCTCATCGTTTCTTCCCATCCCTGACACACAGAGTTGTAATAACATTACAAATGTGTCTTTTTCTTTTCAGATATCTGACACCAGCATCCTGGAGACTATGTACAAGAACCATTCAAACCTGGAAACCATCTTTCGAATCATAGACACAGATCACTCTGGTCAGTCAAATGCACCCTCAGTGGCTTTCACTGCCTTTTCCTACTTGCAGAATATACACAATCCCTGTGTTTCATTGGCCTGGAATATAACACCCCTGCTTTTCTATGTGGTCTTACCACAGTGATATATCAAGTGGTTGTCACTCTTCAGATACTACACATCTGTAGAGAAGAAAACAGTACTCAGTGGTCTTAGTAATACAACTATTGAAGATACATAGAAGCTGTTCATACCTATTTATTTCCACTAGATCCATAATTTTTTTTTAATCCGCAATTGCACTCAATCATATGTAAAATCAATTCCATGTCTCCGTGCAGGTTCGATCTCTTTCGAAGAGTTTCGTCAGACCTGGAAGCTCCTGAGCTCGCATCTGAAGACAGAAATCAGCGACGAGGTCATTGCCGACCTGGCCCAGAGCATCGACTTCAACAAGGACGGGAGCATCGACATCAATGAGTTCATGGAGGCCTTCCGGCTGGTGGACCTCTCTGCACACATCTGAGAGGCCGGACCAGGAGCTGCTGTAGCTGCTGCTTTGAGAACTGCCACAAATACACTGGGACACTCATCTGTGGGCATTCAGAGGGTCAGTAGGCTGACAGAGTGCAAACTAGATCTTTTCTACCTCTTAGACTGTTGTCAGATTTCTTTGTTTACAAAATGTTTTCATGTTTATCCAAGAAGAGT